AGGAGGATGATTTTGATGTATGCAAGCAAGCTAGCAACCAAAATCTTAGGCGCGCTCTCCGCGGATACGGCGAGCAAGTTGGATATCCTTGGGCATAATGGTTACCCGCTTGGCGTGGATGGCGCACAGGTTGGTGTCCTCGAAGAGGCCGACCAGGTAAGCCTCGGAGGCTTCCTGCAGAGCCATGACAGCAGAGGACTGGAAGCGGAGGTCAGTCTTGAAGTCCTGGGCAATCTCACGGACGAGGCGCTGGAAACTGGAAGGCAGCTTGCGGGATGGGAGGAGCTCAGTGCTCTTCTGGGTAACGACGGATCTCAACAAACGAATGGGGCAACAGTACGGCCTGTAACGATGGGGCTTCTTTGGAACAGTCACAGGTAGGTATATACAGCTTGTGAGGGATCAATAAGTGGCCAATCGCGGTAGCAGGAGGCAATAGACATTACCTGGGTATTGGGGTGCTGCCTTTTGGGTGGGGCAGCATCACATTCTTTTGCGAGTGTAGGGATAGTTGAGAGGCAGGGAGCGGGAGGTTATGGGAGGTGGCCTTGGGCCTCCGTGCGGTAGAAGAACTAGAAATGAAATACACTTGGCAGGGCAGTCCCATGGCGTTGCTTGCTTGGTCCGAAAAAGCCATCGGCGCGATTGATTGGTTTTGATGGAAACGAAGTTTCTCTGGGACTGGGGGGGCCGGAACTTATTATTTATTTCTTTTTCGTTTTTTTTTGCCATTTCCATACAGCCAACCAAGCGAAGAGACTATTTCATTTCCAGGATCCCACCCCGCCATCCCGGTTTTTCAGATTCCATTTTGTTTGTCGTTTTTTTTCTCTTTTTTTTTTTCTTTTCACCAAAAAACGTTCATAATATGTTGAAGTCGGGTGACAAGATTAACAAACACAGATAACCTTTTCAGCCACAAAAAATTCTATTTTTTTTTTCCTTTCCCATAGCTGCACCCCTATTTTTATTTTTCTTTTTTTTTTTTTTTTCTTTTTTTTTTTTTTTTTGTTTTTTTTCAAGCTTTTTTTTATCATCCCCAATTTTCCCAAAAGAGCAGAGATGTGGGCAAACATGATAATGATTTATTACGCGAGAATT